ACGGACGAGTTGCAGGTCGTTGATGGGTAGCTGCCTCTTGATTTGAAAATTCGATGGCACGTGGTTAGGACTAAAAGGAAACCTGGTCTGATCTCGGAGAAGGAGATAAGAGACCAGTGGGATAGGATTCTGGACGTCTGGCAGGATAGGTGGGATGTCAGCGAGAAGGGTCGGTGGACCTACTCGATTATTCCCGACACCAAGAGGAGACTAGAACTTCCCCTCGAGGTGGATCACTACACAAGCCAGCTCCTCAAGGGGTACTGTGATTTCAACGCCAAGTTGGAGTCCTTTGCTGTGTGGGGAACGGGCTCGTTTAGGTGCTAGACTGAGGACGAGACGGTAGACCATGTGCTCTACAGGTGCCCGGTTCTCTCTGCTGAGAGGTGTTGGTTCATCAGCCTTATAGACGAGGACGTATGGCCATGTTCGACCAAGGTGTTTCTGGCTGAAACGTGGTTGCTGTGGGACCAGTGCTAGATATTACAACAAACCACTGCACCTAGTGAGAGGTCTGATACCTAGGTACTGACTGAGTCATCCTGGACCTCAAGCAAGGTACAGTGGCGATTCACCGTCGCCGCACTAGTTTTACCATCAGCCATAAGTATCGCTCAGCGCTAGGGCATGGACGAACGGTGGTAGATGCGAGCTAATAACACGGAGACTCCCGTAAAATGGTCCCAGAGTAATATTCCGAAAGAGGCCGTACGAGATAGCAATATAACGCTTTGAGAGAACTACAGATTCTGTTACGTGGGTTTGACAAAGCCAAGGATTTTAAACTCTCGACAGCAAATTGCTTAAATATGGTTATGAAATTCAAGATTTAGACAAAAAAGAATACCTTAGTATTTCTTCCTAGTAACGATATTAATACTTATACAATTAATCAAGTAAATGGTTAATGTTAAAATAAAAGTTAATGATATTATTTATTGAAAAATGGATTAGCATTTTTCTACATTGAAGCTTGGTTACATAGAATTAAACAAGACCAGAACACCATGATCTGTTTAGAAGATAACACAATCAGTTACAGACTCAATTTTAATCACCTGAAGATTTTCAGAGTCAGTTTACTCAGACTTGGGGGGAAAATCTATTTAAGACCATTGGCTAATAAAGAAAACAACAGCGGGGAGAAATGCCTTGCTTGAAACACCATCAAGTACGCAGACTGCTTCAGATTTATAACCTAAGACTTACTTTGGACCCTAACAGATAAATAAGATTAGAAAAAAGATAGAATTGGCTTCCCAAAACTAGATTTATAAAGAACCTTAATTAAGATTTTATGATCACCTCGATCAAATACTTAGGAGAAATCTGTAAAATTAACATCCACCTGAGTTTGTATTTCAATAGCTTCTAATATAAAATTATGAAAAATCATCAAATTCAAAGTAGCAGAACAGCTAGGACTGAAACCATATTATTCATAAACTAGGCTGGAATTAACAGATGGCAAGTAGCTCAAAGAGTTTGGCAATATGATTTTGGAGCTTATTTAACTTTTTGGTTCTGGAGCTCAGTTTTAACAGCCATGTGTTCAAAAATAAGTTATACAAAAGCAAATATACCTGTAATTCTGTATATCAGTTGTATCACCAGTCTTATATCCAGGCGTGAAAGAACTAATCTTAAACATAGCATGCAAAGTGCCCGTGTCAAGGGAGTGACGAAATATTAACTATAGCCGGAAGCAGATAGTTCATAGCTTATATAGGGACGTCAATGGCAGACCATCAGGAATAGCAGATAGTTTTTAATGCAGATAAACCAAGTTTGACATTATCATGGAAAATGAATAGTAATTTAGGAGATTAAGTGAAAGAAAAAAATATCTGGAATTATGTTTGGAGTGGGAGTTTCATATACGGTGCTAAAATTTTAAGAGAAGAGACTAGATGATTGATATAGAGCCAAAACCAATCTTTCCATCAAAATTAACTTAATATGGAATCCTGTCTCTAAATTGATTCTTCCGGACTATGTCCCAAAAAGACGGATTAAAGGAAAAAAAAGGTTTAGCTTTTACTCAGTTAAGGACGATTTATAGCATCTTTTATATTCAAATTTAAAACGTGTCCGGGGATTAGAAAATAATCTCTGGGACAACGGGAAACTTTATATTTGGCATGAGCTCGGTTTTGAGCAAAAATAATGGATTTGATTTTTTAGAAAACCACAGAAGGAATTTAGACTATACCTAACCTCGGAAACAAAATTAAGGGACACTATAGATTTTAACCAGTTGTAAGACATAAGGAAAGAACATATATCGGGAAAGTATTCATGATGAAAATTAAAATATTCATTCATGAGAGTTATCAAGAAGTGGAAGGTCCCAGTTAATGGAAAATGGAATAACAATTGCAGGGTTACATGGATCACATGGTACAGAGACAATTTCAGATTTTTCTACCAAGATACTGGAGTTTTTAGAAAACACCAGATTAAGAATACTCCTAAGGTGATTCGAGATCTTATTAAGTTGAAAAAAATTATTGATAATAATATTTATAACAAATATGCATAAATATGCAAATATATCATGGACACACTGCATTTTATGGCCCCAAAAAGAGTAATAGATTTGGCCATAGTCGTAATTCAACCATGAGGTACCCGGTATGTTGAATTCGACACATATCATGAATACACGGCCAAGATTGAGAGAGATAATTGTCTTTACACCTGTCACCAAACAACAAAGATGACATTTTGAAAATGGAATTTGACCAATAAATGCACAACATTATTGACTGTGGAAGGTAATAAATCACAAACAACATTATTAAAAATGGCAATGAGAGCACTACCAACTTTATAAAAATTACTTGTAAGCTTTTACGATCATATCGAAGTACAGCATAATTAGAGTTAGTTGAACATCATCATTATTATTAAAAAATTGTCACTTTAACAAGTTTCAGACAAACAAATAAAAATATAGTTAAACAAAGATATATTACATTTAAAACATTATGATTTGGTTCTAAGTCCTCGGCAGTTTTGATAGAAGCTGAGTAACAACTGGACGCCACGGTGTGATTTTTTTGGGGGTTTTTAGAGTTTTTAGAGTTAAAGATCATACCTGGTTGGAGACCCCAGAATCTCTTAAAAATAACTCCATTGGTCTAAAATGAAGGTTTCAAGTACATTTTGCAAGTACATTCAGCAAGTAAATATGGAACGATGCGTATGTTGGATACTTAGTAACCATCTGAGTCAGTGTGATATCAATGATTTCAGAAAACAATTTGAATTCAAGCAGTTTGGCAGTGGCATTAGGATTCAGCCAAAAGACAAAGATATAGGAGAATTTTTGTGCTGGAGCAGCAGATAAACCAGCAGAGGTATCTGAACCAACAATAAACTTAAAATGGACAGACACAATTACTGAATTTGTTACTGTAACTATCGAAATTGTAGATACTGATTTATCGGCTTGACAATATGTAGTCATCCAGATGAACATGTTACAGTTATACTATTGCAGTTCACATAAATCAACTGATTACTTTTAGAAATATTCTTTAACTCAGTTAAAACTGACAGTAATATAGTGGCAATATTGGTTGAATTGTATAATGATTCGGTCTTAATATTGTTGGTATTGAGGTGCAACAATAGACTATCGCTCACCTTTAAACACAGATGAAGTGTTTTATTTAAAATATAATCAATACACATGGGCTTGGTTCAATTTTGAGGTCTATTACAAATAATTTTGGATTAACAATAACCATACCAAAATTTACTTCTAATAATAAATGATTAAGCAAGCGGAACGCCGTAACAATGTAGGTAGGCAAATTATTACACATCAGGTACAAATAACTTAACCAGATAATACGGTCAGTGGCCTTGACACTTGCTGTATTAAGAACCTTATTAAAAAAACTAAATTACTGATTAACACTCAACGGTTCTATAACCCAAGCCGTAATTGGTAGATGAGACATAATTTAATTGAAACTATAACTTTAAATGTCGAAAAAAACAACCCCAAGGGAAAAGGTTTTTAGCAGACTAACTCAACACCAACATCAGTCTTGCAGGCTCACTTTTATCATTATTTATTTATTTGAATTATTTCATTTGTTTAAGGTCATTGTATCTAATTACAGATTTTTTTTTTTAGCTTCTACAGGCCATTAAGGCCCTTCGCTGCTTCTACTATGCCTCTCCATCGGTCTCTGTTGTCTGCATCCTCAATTATTGCAGTTTCATCTACTTGCATTAAGTCTTTCTTTACCCTGTCCATCCAACGCTGACGTGGTCTTCCTCTGGGGCGTGTTTTATTTGGTTTAGATATCATAACTTGTCTCATTTGGCTGTCCTTATCTCGCCATATGTGACCAGCCCATTCCAGTCTCCTTGAGACAAGATATTTTTGGATATTTGGTCCTTTAAAGTTTCTTTCAATATTTGCATTTGTTCTCCTTTCGTACTCCCCTGTTTCCGTATTATACATGGAACCATATTATATTCTTCTGAGGATCTTTCTTTCAAATATTAAAAGCTTTGTCTCGTCCCCTTAAGTGGTGGACCACGTTTCGCACCCATACATTACAATGGGCCGTAAGCAAAAAATATAAAGCTTTATCTTAGTTTCTCTGGAAGGAAGCTTAGATCTGAATAGTTTACTCATTGCATAATAGCCACGATTTGCCGTATATAGTCTCAATCTAATTTCGTTATGCATGTCATTCCTATTATTCACATTGACTAACAAATATTTAAAATCTTCTACTTGTTCGAATAGATATCCATAATAGAGATTCTGTAATATTCTTGGTCACCTACTCATGATAATATACTTTTTCTTATTCTTGTTTGTATTGAGGCCCACTCTTTTACTAGAATTTATTTATTTATTTGTACTTTCTTCTACTTCGGTTTGAGAGTCTCCGAGAATGAACATGTCGTCAGCATATGCAAACAATGTGCCGCTACCAGTTAGATCCATTTCTCGCGTTTCGTGCATATCTCTAACCACTTTTTCCAAAGCGATGGCCTGACTTGACTTCAAAATTCCCTGACTCCATTCCCATGAAACGTTCTTTGCATTTAGTATTGGAATTGCAACCTTTAACCAAGTTTATCAGTTTCCTGGGCAAACCAAAATTTCGAAGTACTGTCCATAGCTGTTCTCTGTCCATGCTATCGTACGCATGTCTAAAATCTATAAATATCATGTGTAGGTCTTTGTCGTACTCATAATACTTTTCCATTGTTTGTCTGAGCGTGAATATGTGGTCACTGGTAGATCTTCCTTTTGAGAAACCACACTGATTTTTTCCTACAATGCCTATTAATATTGCTTCTATTCTTCGTAAGATAGCTATTGAGAGCACCTTGCACACTGTGTCTAAAAGCGATATACCTCGATAATTACTAACTTTAGTTGGATCCCCTTTCTTGAAAATAGGGCATATAACTGATGACAACCATTCCTCTTCTACTTGTTCGCTGTTCCATATCTTTGCTATAATGTGGTGTATGTTAATTAAAATTTCTTTTCCTGCAATTTTTAGTAGTTCAGGATTTATATTATCTTCCCCTGGAGATTTATTATTCTTTAGTGATTTAATAATAATTTCAATTTCCTCGATATTTGGTGCTGGCAGTTCAGGTTCTGCTGTGTGATATAGTATTTCTTCGTACTTTCCATTGTTATCATTTCCAGTGCGGGAATTTTTGTTATTTAACAGTTCTTCAAAAAATTCTTGAAATTTGTTTACGATCGGAACGATGGTTCCGATATTATATGACCATTCATGTCTGTGATGAAATTAGTACGTGCCTTGAATCCCTCTTTAATATTCGATATCTTCTATAGCTCTTTTTTCCATTGCGCGTTTCTGTTGCCTAATCACCTTGTTTGCTAGGGTTCTGAGTTTAGAGTATTCACTTATGTTCTCTTCTGTTGGATTCAGCAGCATATTTTGTCTAGCTAAACTTCGCTTGTTAATAGCAGCTTGGCATTCCAGATTAAACCAATGATTTTCGTTTTGTTTAGTGCGCTTACCTCGTAATTCAGATGCATAATTACAGATGCATTTGTAAAACTTAACTATCAAAAAATAAATGAATAATATAACAATACGAGCTGAATTAACCAGCGTTGCCCGGGAAAACTCCTTTTAGGTGTAAAACGCTGTGAAAGCAGTGTATTTTTAAATGTAAATTATATAATATTTTTAAGCGTAGCCACATCAGTCTAGAATTGAAGTAGTGTTGTTAGGAGTCCAAACTTTGGACACCCCCTTCCATGAAGCCGTCCAATTTTTGTAAATGAATAACCATATTACTTATTGTTGAATGTAAACAACACACCCTGTATTATATAGATTATAAGCAAATTATTCACACTGTAGTACAGCAGACGCTGAATAGGCATTTTATATTTCTATAGCGTATTCGTTATATGTACTAGCCTGTAGGACGATTAGTCGTTGTTTTATATTACGCATCGGAGCACAATAGTTATTCATATCAATTATACATATTATTATATTATTACATATCATATCCGATCTTACATTTATTTACCTTTAGCTTCTGTATATCTGTGTACTTCAACACTTATTGTATAGCATAATAGCTGGTTTACCCAGCTTAGCCCGGGAGGTATTCAACTATTTTATATAAAAAAAATGAGGATGAAAAAACTACTATTTTCTTATATTGTACCTTGTTTATTTATTAATTTATAATATGTTATCTCTGTACATATTACTATTGAGGTTATAATACTTCTTTCTAAACAATATTTTTTGTTCTTTGGTGAGCATACACATATAGATTTTTTGCCGAGCTGACACGGGAGCAAGCAACATAAAATTGTCCGTGGTTAAAACAGGGATTCGTAATGTTAAGGCCTGCAACCTTCAGTGTCTGTTCCTGTGCTTTATTAATAGACATTGCAAAACAAAGCTTTATAGGAAATTGTACTCGTTTAAATTCGAACGGGTATTCATTATTAATCATCGGTATCCTGGGAATGAAAAAAACTTGACCTTGGGCTGAGCCGGAAATAATTTTAGCTTCAATCACGTTCCTCTGCATAGTCACTATCCGTAATCTAGTACCATTGCATAATTTCGGCGCATTTAAATTCCTCATAAGTAGGGTTCGGATTTTATAGCATTTGCTACTTATTATAGAATAGAGATAAAAATAGGAGAGTGGGCTATAAATTTGTTTTATGCACCAGGGACCCTAAATATGAAATTTTATTTTACTATTTTTTGCATATTTGAAGAATTTTAGAATTTTAGTGCTATTTTTAAAGTTTTGGTGCTATGTTTTGCTAATATTCTTAATTCAACGCTCTATTTCATATATTTCATAAATCTCGTTTATATTGAATGACAAATTGTAGGTATTCATTAACGCGAATCAATTAGAAAAATTCCCACATTTTCGTTTCATATTATATAACATGTAATAAATCTAATATAATAAATAGTAATATAATAAAATAATAAATATCATATAATAAATAGTCCGACGATGTCGAATCTTATCTTCTTATCTGTTATTGTTTCACATAGTTGTAGATTCTATAATATACCGTCGACTGTCGTACGTATTTCAGCGTCAGTCAGCTCTCTGTATCGTTTGATTTATTACGTTTAACTCAGGTAAAATAAATAAAATATTATTTAATTAATAAATAATAATTACTTGAATTTTATTCTCATTTACTCAGATAATTTTGAATAGTTGGGTACAAACAATGTCATAATTCAAGGTATCAAGTTAATCAGTACATACAAATTTTTTTATACTGTAAACAGAGATTTTAGTTTTTTTTATATATAAATGATTTATTAAAGTCATATGATAAATTGAATACAATTTTGATTTGTATTTATTTTTATTTATTGCTATTTTTGATGTTTTTTGGTCATATTATAGCGCATATTTTAGGATTTTTGGTGCTATAAAATCCGAACCCTGCTCATAAGTATTATTGGAGCCCCAATTTTCAAGTCCAGTCTATGTGGTGAAGATCCTGATGGATTCAAAGAAAATTTTTTTTTTGCCAAAAACGATAGAAAAAAATTACACAGTCCATACTACGAAAATAATATCAGCGTACGGCGATGTTAAAATAAATACAGAAATCTATACGTATATGGCTCTATCTGAGGTTGTCGAGTTAGATTGTTGTTCGATCCGTTTGATATGAAGCTGCCGCCGTCGGTGGTCGCGCTGTGTTGACCACCACGGTAATCGATAGGTAATCAGTAACCAGGTTCGCGGGCGCTGTTTACCGTCAACTGCTATGTTGGCAACACCACCGGTGACCGTTACCGGCGCTCGGCGCAGGCGAGCTCGGTCGTCCGCGTCACTCTACTCTTTTGCTCAACGAGTACACAACAGCTCTGTTTTTGTTCTTGCTCTTCTCGCTCGCCGGCAGCCATCTTTTCCCGTTTGGAAAGCACCCGAGAAAACGTGGTCTATAGTTTTTTCGGCATAGAGGTTGTTCCGCCATCCAGCTCGTGTTGCTCATCACATTGACTGTCGTCGTCCAGTCTGTGATTCAGTTGTGAATCGTTAAGCTCATAACAACAGCTCCGTGTAGTTTTACCTACTCTCATACTTCGAGTTCACGTGTTCGTGCAGTTAACCGCTCGTTTCTCCACGACACAACGGGGCATCCGCTCGCACCCGTGGTCCAGCATATTAGCATCAGCAGTTCAGCATCTACAGTCATCAGCTCAAGACATCCAACCAGTGAGGCAGCTCAGGCGGTGATCCCCGTTCCCCCCTCCTGTTAAATATTGTAATATTGTTTTCATTATTGTTTTCCACCAAAGTATGGTCCCAATATCATGAAGAGCTGCCCTTCATCGGATTGATCAAAATACCACGTCAAGTGACCACAGAAAAGGGTACGTACGAGCTTCACGGGTTCTGTGACAGTTCAGAAATAGCATACGCTGCAGCAGTTTATCTTCTGGTACGATCAACCAATACCACTCAATGTCACCTTCTCATGGGAAAGTCAAAAGTAGCACCGGAAAAGAAATTGTCGATTCCGCGACTCGAACTTTGTGGCGCTTTACTCCTCGCCCGGACTATTGAATATGTACGAACCAATTTAACTTCATTGCAGATCACAAACGTCACTGCCTGGTGTGACTCCACAGTAGTGCTCACATGGCTCCAAATGCCAACGGCAAGATTGAAAACGTTTGTGGCGAATCGCGTCGCTCAAATTCAGCATATGACCTCATCTGACAGCTGGAGGCATGTACCCACTGCACAAAATCCAGCAGACTGTGCCACTCGTGGCCTGACTCCGAAAGAAATAAGTGATCACCCTATTTGGTGGACCGGTCCGCAATTTCTTACTCAACCTTCGGAAACATGGCCGCAAGTAACCATCTTCAACACTGTCGAACCGGGAGAACACAATGTCGAAGAAAAGCCCTTGATACTACTGGCCGTCCAAGTTGAAGAAGAGAGTAAGCTCTTAACCTCATCAACTGACCTACCTAAAGTCCTCCGTCTCACTGCATATTGGTTACGGCTCCGGAGACGTTTAGGCCACCAACCAATGGTATTTGATGAAAACCAATCACCCGGAATAAAAGAGAAAAATGAAGCGTTACTTGCTTTATTACGATGGGTACAGCGGGTACACTTCGCAGAGGATTTGAAACTTCTTACTGCAGGTCGAAACTGTTCAACAAAACTCCGATTATTGAAAGCATTTATAGACCCAATCGGGGGTCTCCTCATGGTGGGCGGGAGACTTCGCGAGGCGGATTTACCGTTTGAAAATCGCCATCCTATCTTATTACCGAAGAACTCCCAGTTGACGATACTATTAATCGATTTTTTCCACCGTCAACATTGTCACCCAGGACCTCAAACAACTCAGAACATTCTTCAACAAGAATATTGGATCATTTCCGCTCGAAGTTTCATACGAAAACGACTCCGTCAATGCGTATCCTGTTTCAAAGCCAGTCCGAAGCCCTTGCAGCCTAGTATGGGAGACCTACCGAAGCCAAGACTAGTTGGTACAAAACCATTCGCTCACGTGGGTGTTGATTTCGCTGGACCGTTCTTCGTAAAAGCCGCTCTTCTAAGACGGATCCAGACGACTAAAGGGTACTTATGTATTTTTGTATGTATGGCAACTCGTGCGGTCCATTTGGAGCTCGTCAGTGATTTGTCAACCGCTCTCTTCCTCGCGGCCCTTGACCGATTTATTAGTCGTCGTGGAAGATGTACTGACCTCTACAGCGATTGCGGAACAAACTTCGTAGGAGCAAAACGCTATTTAAAGGAAGTCCAAGATATTATTGACTCTTCAACCACAGCAACGGATCTGGATAAACGCCAAATTCAATGGCATTTAAATCCACCAGCCGCCCCACACATGGGCGGACTTTGGGAAGCAGCGGTTAAGTCCGCAAAAACGCTACTTCATCGTACCATCCACGACCAAATATTAACCTATGAAGAATTAAATACTATTTTTCATCGAGTAGAGGCCACACTTAACTCGCGTCCTCTAGGAGCCATGTCCTCGGACCCTAACGATCCTCAACCTCTGACCGCTGGACATTTCTTAACTATGGGACCTCTGGGTACGCTACCTGCACCTACCACCTCATCTACCAGTTCAAGACTCGGACTTCACAAACGATGGGCTCTTGTCCAACGAATACAACTACACTTCTGGGAACTATGGCAGAAAGATTACCTACATACCTTGCAAGTAAGATCCAAGTGGCACAAGGACGAACGTAATCTCCTGATCGTTGACCTTGTCATTGTCAAAGAACCAACACCCCCTCTCACTTGGAAAACTGCACGGGTCGTGGAAGTCCACCCGGTTGAAGATGGCGTAGTACGTGTGGCCACAGTTCGTGATGCAGACGGCAAATTATTCAAACGTCCAGCCGCAAAGTTGTGTCTATTACCACTAGATATATGAAGGAGAGATGTCCTTCAGGTGGGCGGTATGTTGTGACATTTATTCAATTATTTTGCAATCGCCGTCTTTTCGCCGTTGATACGTACACCGTACCCCCTACTCTCCTCCCGCCATACCCTATCGCACGGACTGCGTGTGCAGCTGTGCTGTACGTTTTACGTGCTGTCGTTCGAGGGCCGCAATAACGGTCGGTTGTTGTTGTTGTTGTTAATTTTGTTTTTGTACCACTTAACACCGTTGTTTGTTTTGTTCTACCACTGTCATTACCGTCACCACTGCCAACTACACCTACTTTACCGCCTTCAGTTGCAGCGACTATCTACCACACCGTACCACCTCACCGCCTGATCACGGATTGCCTTCAGGTTCCTGTTATATTTCGGGAGAACACAATGTCGAAGAAAAGCCCTTGATACTACTGGCCGTCCAAGTTGAAGAAGAGAGTAAGCTCTTAACCTCATCAACTGACCTACCTAAAGTCCTCCGTCTCACTGCATATTGGTTACGGCTCCGGAGACGTTTAGGCCACCAACCAATGGTATTTGATGAAAACCAATCACTATTATTATTGTTTTTGTTTTGTGTATTATTTAAAATAGTAGGCCGTCAATCCGGCAAATGAAACTTAACCACAACCGTGTTGCTTTGATTTTTATACAGTCCATTATATTCCGAAACACTCAGACTCGAACTGACGTCTAGAAAATGTGGGTAAGCACCGAGCAGCTAATGAAAACAACAGGAACGAGGCTAAATCTGGAATCTGAAGCGATTCCAAGATCGCAATATTTTCATCAAACACTGACAGGAACTTCTGCAGAGCAGCATGATTCTCCGAACTTGCGGCAGGAGCGTTTATCAATTTGTCAATGATTGACGACGCCAACCTGCGCGGTTTGTCATAGCGTTCGGTCAACGCCTCCCAAGCGAGGGAGAAAGACTCGTTCGAAATGGAAAACCCTTTGATCACTTCCTGAGGATCAGGGTGAAGACAACCGATTAAATAATAAAACTTAGTTACATCAATAATCTTGTCATTATTGGCTACCAAATTTCCGAATAAGTCCCTAAAGGCTGGCCAATTCTGGCATTCACCGTCGAAATATGGTAGGGGGATTTCAGGTAGTCTCGTAGGTGACAAAGGTGAAGGCGCATATGGTGTTGGATCAACTTTGGACGACCCAGCGGGAGTACTCGAATTGTCACCAGTGGTCTCATACGTCACTCGCTGGACGGTACCAACGCTCACACCTAAAGCCGGTTGCGCTTCATTCCACACGGCCTTAATATCCACTACTAACGTTCGGATCTCAACATCCAACCTTACCGGAAACTCTGTCAGCAAATTCAAATCGGACAGGATTGACAACAAATCATTAGGCCTTGTCTGTCGATGAACGATATAAGGTCGTATGCACCCATCGTCTGTGTATGGTTTGCTTTGGTGAAGGTCATATGTCATACAAGTGTTCGTCATCGTGTGCCACATGTAAGCGCCGTTATCATGCATTGCTACATCGTGCCTCGGATTCGAAGCCTGTCAGTGCTCCAGCTGCCATGCTTGGTCGGCAACAATCTCCAACGGTGCTATTAGGGACAGCTCTGGTCCAAGTACAAGACACAGTAGGGAGTTGCCGCACTATACGTGCGTTAATCGATTCGGCTTCGCAGATAAGCGCGATAACATCAAACTGCTGTGAGCGATTGGGACTCAAACCATCGCGTTGGACAGTGCCTGTCACAGGACTGTCTGGTCAAAG